GCTCTGGGTTGCCGTTGGTGTTGGCGTCGCGGCGTGGTTTGCGCTAGTGCCTTCCACGCCTTTTCCTGCCACCCACAAGTGTGTAGAGATATTCAAAGCTATTATTTAGACTAATGTGATGTTTTTTACAAAATCAATTAATGTTCCTCGAATGGCCATTTTGCAGTGTATGCTATACAAGAATTCCCGTTTGCTTATGTGGACACCTACACTTAGTTATTTCTTTGTACATACTTCACCTAACACTCATTGCACGAATCTTTCTACTCAGGTATTTGCCTAGATACTTATTAAACTTTGTTACTAATGACCGTTAACCATCTGCCTCCTGCGCAGGTTTGTGAATTCCAAGTTTACTTGACCTTGTGCATCAAACACTCCGGCTGGTCTATTAGGTGGTTTGGTCCTTCTCTCGCCTACATTATTCTGCCTCCTCTAAGTACAATGCACAAAACAATACGATAGCATTCTTTAAAATAAAGGGCAAGTCTTAATTGTCAACAGTATATTTTAAATAGTGGGAGTGTAATTACAACGTTTTAAGTTTACGCTAGTCGTCATTAGTACTCTGGTGTGGTGTGGCGTCGGATCAGGGCGCAGACATGTTGGACCGCCTGGCCTCAGCCAATCCCGTGTCTCTATGCGATCCAATGGCATGCGGGAAAGGAAGGCAGCCAACCAGAGAAGGACATGGATGAGATGCAGTATATAATGAGTGGCGTGGCCAGATTGGTGGACTCGGATGGAAGGCGCCTGACGCGTGGCTCTGGCTTCTGATTGGTCAATAAAGCCTGTTCTGTTGCATCAGTCTTTTTCCTATTAGGGCTCAGGTATTCTACACTGTTGACGTCTGGGGCGCAGACATATTGGACCACCTGGCCTCGGCCAATCGTGTGTATTTTTTGCGCTTCAGTGGCACGCGAGGAAGATACGCGGCCAACTAGAGTCGGACACGGATGAGGTACAGTATATAACGAGAGGCGTGGCCAGTGTGGCGGACTTGGATGGAAGGTGCCTGGCTTGTAGTTCTGCCTTGTGATTGGTCAATAAAGCCTATTCTGTTGTACCAGTCTTATTCATACTTGGGCTCGGGTATTCCACTGTACTTTTCTTTAAATATGGTAAGCTTCAATTGGTAAAGCATAATCATTATCATGACCATAAATGTTTCTTGAAAGCAATTACTGTACCTTCATTTTGATATTATTATGAATTGTTTATGAAATGGTCATGTTCATGATAGTAAATAATACTAAAAAGATAAATCTAAGATATTTCACACGTTCCTGGAAAAAATTGTTGTCCTGTTACGACGAATAGGAGTGCAGGCCATGTTATTGGCCATGATTAGATTTTTAAGCTTTTGGTAAGGCATTCCCAAACTTCATCACACCTGCCTGATCAGTTATTTTGAGCAGAGTGATGAGGCTTTGAGATTGGTAGCTTTGTTTGCTTTTAAAACATGGGCACTCAGGCCACAATTGTTTTTAGGACAAAGCAACAAATTTTCTCGAAGAAATAAAAAGACATGAGCTTGAGGGGCTAAAGTGTGGCATCATTAGCTTGTAAATGTACAGAAGCTCTTGCAGCAAATGGTATTTCCATTTTCAAATAGGTTTCTGGAAGATACAGGACACAACGGGAATACGGCATCGAATCTTATCTAGTGAGTCCAATGGCTCGAGTTTTAATCTTATTTAAAAAAAAAGATATTTGTTAAGTAAACAGACTATTTAAATGCAGACTTTAAATTTTTAAAATAAAATCGCGCTACTATATTCCGGGATGAATAATGACCTTAAATGCAAAAGTGAGCGTAAATTGAATCCTTGGTTGAGAGCCCCAGAGTTCCCGATTTGGCTTTAAATGTCGTTGGGAATGATCTCAGCCGATTTCGTAATCGACAAAGGTTTTTCAAGGAAACCATGCACACCTCACGGATTTTATCCAGAAAACAATAGAGCCCCTAATGAAAGAGATAGGATCTACAATGTAGTGCACATTTTATAGGTTCATTCTTACACATAATATAGGGGTGGTGGAAAATTAGATCAGTTAACGGATGGAACGAAGAGCTGTATGTTTACGGGATGCACGTAGTCTGGAGCAAAATATCAAATGAGTCAGTGCGGTTTCCATTGCTGACATTGACAATGGATACGCCTGTTGTAGGAGCACATTGGACCTCATTTTATCTTCCCGAAAATCACGTAGATGAATTCGAGGTAAAAAATGCATATCCCGTAGTAGTTAACTTGAAGCATTAATGTATGTGATTGGTCTTTGCTAGTGGTCGCGTTTTAGGCGGTTCCCGATAGGGCGCCAGAAGGGAGGACTCAATCGGGCGTTTCAGTGTTCGAGTCTCAGCGCTGTACATTTATTGAAAATACAGGCACTTCCTACGTCTCCAGATTGCCCTTCCACGTAGAGGTAGCGTGGCCTTTAAAAACTGGGGTTCTGCTGGAACGGCGACTATTGTCCTCGGAAAAATGCGCTGCTCGACAGAATCAATACCAGAGTGCTATGTCATGTAGCATGCTTAACAGTCCATTCTTGTCCAACGAAACAAACAGAGAAACGCCTGCATTATTCACGGTTTTCTTGATGTCGCACCCACTTGATGAAATGACACCGGTTTTGTTGAAAATACCAGGTGAGTTTGTTTGTGTTACTGCATTTATTTGCTTAGGGGCTTCTGGTACATCACCCCGGATGTGTTTTGCAAATGATGCAAATCAGAAAATTGTGGGTGTTGTTGAAAACCTCGGCCTAGTCGTCACCGTCAACAAGCTGTCTGGTCTTCACTCTGTCTGGCGCATTGAAAAGGCCCAGGTTGAAGTAGGTCATCGTTATGCTGATTGATTTTGCTCTTGTGTTTGAACTCAGTCATTGGCATGCTTCTTCACAGGACTACGCTCATCTTTATCTAATTGACGAGGACGGCCGTATTACCGTGGCGCCCGAGGCTTTAACTGTCGTCGACGAGCAATCCCTCACTGCTCCTCTCGACTTGGGTCCAGCTGTGCTGTCTACACCAATCGACACCAAGGGGGCAGCATCTTCAGCCTCTCGTCAGGCAACGCCGCTTCAGCATCGTTTTCAGCATCTTTCTCTCGTCTCTTCCCCCTTCCTGAGCCCATTTAGAGCCTCATTGCAAAAGCTTAAATACGGCACAACGTCCTCTTTGCAACCACACACCTCAATAATAAATGATTCGGCTAGCGATGACAGTGTCGAAAACCTCACCGTAAGTGTGCAGTCCTTGGTGTCCTGTTGCAGTTTTAGTCTTTTTATCGTATTTTTTTTTCATTTTTTGGCAAAAGGGGCCCGGTATATCACCTCAGCCCGTTGATCTAGACGAACACATTCGACGTCTCTCCGCTGTGAGCTTTGTACCTCCGCCTAGATCCATGGACGATACCCACCATCCTGTTTCTCAGCAGAATTCTGTATTTGCGATGGAGACAGTTCAGTCTTTCCGAAGAAATCGACGCAATTCTAAAAGCAGTGGATTATTTACTAAACCGCGAAGCAGACAGTAAGTGTTGTATATGACACTCTTTTTATTATCACTCAACGTTACCTATCTTAAATGCCTACGTGTAACTATGACTTTAAGTCGAACGAGTCTGTAATCCCCTGCGGTTTCCAAAAAGTTAACATTTTGCCACAGTTCCTTACCAATTTTCATAGAGGGCAGAAGCATGCACTGCTGACTAGGCTGGTGTCTCTTTTCTAATCGTATTATTAACTCGCAGTGACATTTTCGCCTTTTATGAATTTGAAAAAAAAGAATCGGGTATTGAAACTGCAAAGAAACTATTGACGACGTTTATTTTGGACAGCTACAAAGTAATTAGATCAATACCAAAGTTATCACTTCAATTTAAATGATTAAAATTCACAATGGGTGACCGTCCAGCATTGACAGTGAGTAATAATCGATCGATTACCACTGAAAAGATTGCCGAGAGACTATGTGTTGGCAAATCGGCTGTGTTTTACCATTAGACGCAGCATGGACACATTTCGAAGCTCGATAAAAGCGTTCCTACACGCCTCCCCATGAAACGAATCCTTTTAGGGGGTCTGGTTAGTTTTGAAATCCGAAAAATAACGTAAAACGTTGCTTATTCGAAAAGGCCTCGTCTGTCACCATGACAACGCTAGACCACACGTCGCTCAACAGACGTTGCAAAAACTTGGGGAGTCAAAATGAGAGGTCTTTCGGCAGCAGTCGCCACATTCCCACGATTTTGCCCCCTCAAGTGCCTATCTGTTTCGTTCTCGGCAAAATAATTTGAATGACAAGCTGCCTTGAGACTTGAGTTGAAGCGAAACCACGCAGTTTAAATAGGGTGATGATGGAGAGCGCATTCTTGACTAATAAACATTAGTATTAATCGATTTTCGAGTCGCTCACGAATCTTTGCGATTGATCTTGAGCTCCCTAAAACCCTAACGACTGGAAACGTTGATGAGTTAACGCTTGAAAATCGATGCCACTTTTGCATAAGATTTCCCTTTTGAAGGCTGAATCGTCGTTCTTCTGTTTACGTTTTGTGCTATTCACACACTTCCAGGCACCTCGTTGCTACTTTTAACTCTCTTTGGGTGATTTTCTATTTTCGAAGACATTTTTAATGCAATCAACCCGGACATGTTTGATTAGTGGTAGTAGTACTTATCGTAAGAGACGCTGAAGGTGGCGTCGTTAGTTGTAATTGTCGCGATAGAGACACCAAATGTGGAAAAAGGGAATCGATTAAAAGGTGATTAGGCTAATTCGATAAGTGCTTGTACGCCTCTCGTTTTGTTTGATAGTTGCACTTTCTTGAGAGCCCACAAAGAGCAAGTCAAATCACTCTCCAATTTAGAAACTGATTCTTTTTAAAACAAAAACGAACCAATCCGACGTGACCGAGGTGACGTTCTCTGGGTACTTTATTCCGGGAACACTTGCTTGCACATATACGCTTATGCATTGAATTCAACCGCTAAATCCACATTGTTGCCATCACATTGCCCACCATTTTATGTACGTGTGCAGAAGGTTTTGACGAATGTAGAGTGCCGTATTGATGGTCGTTTGACCCTTGGCATGATTATTTGCACGTCGTCACAACAAACGAGCTTCATGTTTACACCTTAAGAAATTCTCTGACACTGGGTTGCTCCACAATCCCCGGGGTGTTCGCGACCTCCTCACATCCCGAGTGTCTCTCGCACATCGGCGAACTGCAGGCACTCCAACTGGGCTTGGATGAGCCCCTCCTGCCCAAGGTCTGTCTCACGTTGCTGTGGCGGGAACAAGCGCACGAGCCGGACGACGTGGATCAGGCCACGGAGACACCGCGCCCCCGCATCGCCGGTGCGTTGTGTGATTGGCCCCCTCCCCCCCTCCCGTCTAGCCCCCATCCCCTTATACACTAACCCCCCCCCCCTGTGGTGCCTTCA